GAGGCAGATGATTTTATTTAATTTTATGACTCTAATATTTTGTTATTATCAATGGTTTAAGTTGAATTTGCTTTCTCTAAATAGTGGTCATAGTCACAGAAAAATAATTTGAAAGCAGGTATCTATCTACATTTTTTTTAAAAAAGATGAAATTCCCCAAAATGTTCTCAGTAATTATTTCTTGAGGATGGGTGGGAGATTATTTTTAAATTTCATATATAACTAACTCACATTAAAGTAAAACTTTATTTTTCAAACATAAAAATAAATATTAATTGAAAATAACTGCTTTTTAGTCATAGGAACCATTACTTAGTTTCACATTGCACACATGATATATAATGGAATAATGCGGTCACTTTACATTTTTCCTAAGATTAAAAAAGAGAGAAAAAGGTTTCCAGTTATTGTGTCATGGTTCACATCTACAAGTGTGAACCATGTGCAAGTCACTGTGTGGGGTGTTTGGCGTACACTTTAATGGGACACCTTTCCTATCTGCTAACAAGTCTGATGGAGAAGGCAAATTAGTCACAACGAAAGTGGAAAAGGCAGAAAGGGAGTCTCAGTGGAGTGTGGAGGCTGAGGACTGGCTGCCACCTGCTGGGAGCTTGCAGTGGGCGAGAGGCTCGTGTACCTGCTGAGGCGGGCACCCTGAGCGAAGAGGGGTCTTGAGGACCCAGGAGTGGTGGCCCCTCATGAATCGTTGACAGCGTGTCTGCTTCAGAGCCTGAGGGGGACAGGGCCGGTTCCCCAGCAGCATGTGCGATGCACGGACTATCAGGTTCTGCAGGTGACGCTAATGCAGTTCTAACATACCTGAAGGTAGCATGGGGGCCACACAATGCAGAGTCTGGCTGTGCCCCGAGCTTCTCACCCACTAGAATCCCATTCTCCCAAAACAGGAGTAGCAGGGAGCATGAGGAGTCACACAACTGGCCTGCTGCCTGTTTCTGTATGGCCTGCAAGCTAGGAAGGGTTTCTACATTTTTAAATAGTTGAAAATGCCGAAAAAGGAATCCTGTTCTGTGGCTCATGAGAACGACATGAGATTCAAGCTTCAGGGCCCACAGGTCAGGTTGGCTGGGGCACGGCCACGTTCCTCCACTTGCACTTTGTCTGCGGCTGTGTTTGCACTGCCTGGTGCTTGCAGAGAGAGCTCACCAAGCCCTCAGCTAACCGACCGAGGACGGGGACTCTCACACAAAGCATCACAGCTCGAAAAGAGCCATCCATCGTGGACGNTTTCTGCATGGCTGGCCAGTATGGGGATCTGAACCCCTTGTTGTTGGGGTTAAAAGACCGCGCTCCCAGTGACTGAACTAACCAGGCAGGCCTCATTTCACTGTTTCTTATTCGTCTCTCTCCACCAGAATCTAAGCAGTACAGGGGAGAGATGCTCATCTGTGTGGCTCACTGCAGCATCCCTGGTGCCCAGAACAGCGTCTGATGTGCGCACTTGAAGTCTGCTGCATGAATGAAAGGAG